CTTTATTTTTATACAATGCAAAATAATAATACTTAAGAACTGAAGTCATTTACGAATTCTAACAACAACTTTTTACAAAACTAAAATACCTTAAGCCATTCCAGAGATACTTGGAATATTATGCATTAGAAACCTAATAGCCAGATCAAAAGCACCTTCAATGCGTTTTGTAGTTATTGATAAGCGTTTACTTTAACGGGGACAATTATACGGTGAGTTCGTAAAATCATGATGCAATTTTGAGCAATCACAGAAAAGCAATAAAGCAAGATAGAAATGTAATACTTCACCAAGTAATAGGAAAACTCTCCAAGTTTTCGTAATATGATGTGTACGTAAATGATGATCCAATACTACGAACTGCGCAGCAGCGAATCCACCCACGTCAGACGAGAAGTGCTACAAAATTTTTTTACTTTGTTTAACGAGAAACTTTTTTACGAACATAAAAAATTAAATCCATAATGATATATACAACTATTTCTTATAAAAGGATGTATCAAAGACAACATCCCGAACACGTTTCGTTATTATACTAACGATTGTCTCCGTTACGTCGTTTTCTTCCAATTTGGTTTGTTATGAACTCGTTTACCTAATGGATATATATATAGATAGGTACTACATCATCAGTTTCAGAGATCTGCAGATGACGCGAGTGATTTATCTTTTGGAATTTTTGGTTCGTTTCACTTTCATGGGTCACGTATTTGACCAACAATAAACTTTATGGTTTAGTCGTGTTTTTTTATTCTTTGCAACATAAGGGTTGTAAAACACTGTTATTATACCCAGAAAGTTTATTTCAAATTCTTCCTTTTTTTGACAAACTTGACACCATATTAATTAGTTTTAGTGTATTAATTAGTTTAGTGAAATTTAGTTTTAATTTATACACAAAATCTCCTTAAAACGGATGTAGCGTTGAGTTTGAATCAACTTGTAACGAGTTCATTTAGTGCGTGTTAAATGCAATTTGGATTTGCGATCGTGATTTACACAACATCGCCAATTAGCTTAACACCATTTATATAATTTTATAAATGATAATAATAAATATGTGTATTTCGGACTTAAATTATTATAAGCTACGCATTTCATGTTCAAAAATTTGTGTTGATTGCATCTTATCGACGTTGTTGGTACCAGCATAAGTATCGACTGCAATTTTATTATGCTGTGAAATTAGTGACCCAGTTAAAGCATTGGGCTTCAAAACGAAAACTTTACAGATTAAAACTGAGATTAAGGTAAAAGTTTTTGAAATGTTTACGTGAAATAGAAAATCACGGAAAATCGTCACCAAAATAAATCAAAAAATAAAGTTATGATGAAAATTCGTAATCTATATCAAGTTGATTTACGATAGTGTACATTTTTTGTTGTTTTCTGTTTGTAAACTGGTTTAGCTAAAACTAGAACTAACATTAGAACTAGAAGCAAACCTGAAACTTTCTGAACACTCTCTTTTTGTTTAGAGAAAGTATAGAAAAGTCAGCAAAATATAACATTCGAAATAGAACATCACTAGACGTCGTAAACTAGGTACCATTAATTCAATAATCAAAAATTGATACATGTACCCGTAAATCGAATCTTTCATCGCAACATGTTTGCTTATCAAATAAACCGATTTTCCGATTATTTTCAGATGAATGAGCATCTATTTTGTATACGTGGGCCGTTTTGATTGAACTCGCATAATAAACAAGAAATAGAAATTGCTTTGCGTCGGGAACGTAAACACTCCTTTAAAATCGATGCACATCGTTTAAGGTTTTCTCCTGTCAAACGCTAATTAACTGCTTTATTAAATTTCTCATCAACTTGCCCACGTTAAACATCGACCTTGTTCCAAACCGATCATTTATCATTTCGATTTGAGAAGCATTAATTTTGGCCCACGATTTTGCTTTAAAATTGTATTCAAAATTTGTGATCAATTATTGTTAATTTCATCTACAATTAACAACTCAATTTGTACCAAAGATAATTGATTTAACACTTGATAACATTTGATTGATACTAACAATGCCAATTCCGTTTCAACTGAATACACCATACATATTTAATCATCACATTCCCTAAAAGATAGAGCGAAAGAAGGGTCATCAATGGAACGACTATTTCAGTCTGTAGATTACAACACCTGTCTATTTTTTCTTATGTGATTATTTGGTATCTAATATTCATTTCAATAAATCAGTTTAGTGTTATCATATTATTATTATTTCTTTATTCTAGATATTTTTATACCTTATTTAGGTATTGATTTTGTCAGGATTCAAGTATGTGGCGCTCTCTATTCGAGATGTTTAAAAGTTTTTTAACAGAATGTTATTTAGAATTAAAATCAAATGATTCCCATTTGGAGGGTTATATTGAAGATTATTTTAAAATTATTACGAACGTCACTATGATCTATAAAATCAGCATCTGGTTGATAAAATTAACTTTATCCTGATTACATTGACGTATTGAAAATAATCAACACTTCAACGGAAGCAAAACACGGTTATATTTAACATAATAATTTGGTTTAGTATTACATTACGTAATCTTTATAATTTAACTAACAAAAGAAACTTTCAGATTGAAAAGGTCGAGTATCTATCTATTTTTGATTATACTATCTACATATAATATAATGAATATAATCTATCGAATACTGAAATCTTTAAGAACAGAAAGAAATGTGCAAAGTATTAAAGATAAGTAGAGAGAAGTACTGACGGAGCAAATAACCTTATGGAAGAATAAGAGTATTATGACACAATCGAACTATCAGCATTAGTTATACAAATCATAAGCTTTCCAATAAAAGAAACCGATTTTTAAAATATCTTCTAGGTCTTAAGATATTAACTTTTAAAGATAATAAGACATTTACTCATTTTTCGGGTTAAGCAATTATAATTAATCATTTTCAAAAAGTCATAACAAATCGGGATTTTAATAAATCATTTCGAAATTATCAGCATTTATTATACAAATTATGAGCTTTCTAATGAAAGAAACCGATTTTCAAAATATCTTCTAGGTCTTAAGATATTAACTTTTAAAGATAATAAGACATTTACTCATTTTTCGGGTTAAGCAATTATAATTAATCATTTTCAAAAAGTCATAACAAATCGGGATTTTAATAAATCATTTCGAAATTATCAGCATTTATTATACAAATTATGAGCTTTCTAATGAAAGAAACCGATTTTCAAAATATCTTCTAGGTCTTAAGATATTAACTTTTAAAGATAATAAGACATTTACTCATTTTTCGGGTTAAGCAATTATAATTAATCATTTTCAAAAAGTCATAACAAATCGGGATTTTAATAAATCATTTCGAAATTATCAGCATTTATTATACAAATTATGAGCTTTCTAATGAAAGAAACCGATTTTCAAAATATCTTCTAGGTCTTAAGATATTAACTTTTAAAGATAATAAGACATTTACTCATTTTTCGGGTTAAGCAATTATAATTAATCATTTTCAAAAAGTCATAACAAATCGGGATTTTAATAAATCATTTCGAAATTATCAGCATTTATTATACAAATTATGAGCTTTCTAATGAAAGAAACCGATTTTCAAAATATCTTCTAGGTCTTAAGATATTAACTTTTAAAGATAATAAGACATTTACTCATTTTTCGGGTTAAGCAATTATAATTAATCATTTTCAAAAAGTCATAACAAATCGGGATTTTAATAAATCATTTCGAAATTATCAGCATTTATTATACAAATTATGAGCTTTCTAATGAAAGAAACCGATTTTCAAAATATCTTCTAGGTCTTAAGATATTAACTTTTAAAGATAATAAGACATTTACTCATTTTTCGGGTTAAGCAATTATAATTAATCATTTTCAAAAAGTCATAACAAATCGGGATTTTAATAAATCATTTCGAAATTATCAGCATTTATTATACAAATTATGAGCTTTCTAATGAAAGAAACCGATTTTCAAAATATCTTCTAGGTCTTAAGATATTAACTTTTAAAGATAATAAGACATTTACTCATTTTTCGGGTTAAGCAATTATAATTAATCATTTTCAAAAAGTCATAACAAATCGGGATTTTAATAAATCATTTCGAAATTATCAGCATTTATTATACAAATTATGAGCTTTCTAATGAAAGAAACCGATTTTCAAAATATCTTCTAGGTCTTAAGATATTAACTTTTAAAGATAATAAGACATTTACTCATTTTTCGGGTTAAGCAATTATAATTAATCATTTTCAAAAAGTCATAACAAATCGGGATTTTAATAAATCATTTCGAAATTATCAGCATTTATTATACAAATTATGAGCTTTCTAATGAAAGAAACCGATTTTCAAAATATCTTCTAGGTCTTAAGATATTAACTTTTAAAGATAATAAGACATTTACTCATTTTTCGGGTTAAGCAATTATAATTAATCATTTTCAAAAAGTCATAACAAATCGGGATTTTAATAAATCATTTCGAAATTATCAGCATTTATTATACAAATTATGAGCTTTCTAATGAAAGAAACCGATTTTCAAAATATCTTCTAGGTCTTAAGATATTAACTTTTAAAGATAATAAGACATTTACTCATTTTTCGGGTTAAGCAATTATAATTAATCATTTTCAAAAAGTCATAACAAATCGGGATTTTAATAAATCATTTCGAAATTATCAGCATTTATTATACAAATTATGAGCTTTCTAATGAAAGAAACCGATTTTCAAAATATCTTCTAGGTCTTAAGATATTAACTTTTAAAGATAATAAGACATTTACTCATTTTTCGGGTTAAGCAATTATAATTAATCATTTTCAAAAAGTCATAACAAATCGGGATTTTAATAAATCATTTCGAAATTATCAGCATTTATTATACAAATTATGAGCTTTCTAATGAAAGAAACCGATTTTCAAAGTATCTTTTAGTTTTTGAGATATAAATTTTAAAAACATATTAAGATACAATAATTTATTGATCGAATGATATACATCTTCTAAAGTACAGGAAAATTCGTAACTACAGTAATATCTACGTTAAATTGGGTGAGACGAATGATTACATAGTACATTAAAAAAGTTTTGAGCTTTAATTTGGTATACAAATTCACCCGATTTGACTACTTCTTAAATACATATTACACTTAATATTTACAGATAATTTTATTAAACATTAATTTTGTTGTACTTTCGGTTCTCACACCGTAGTAAGATGTGCTAATATAACTAATCCTCACATTAACACATCTCATGAGCTTGGGCTCTAAGCTCGTTAAAGATGGTGTAAGAACTAAATTACAAAATAAAGTGATAAAACACTTTTGTTCTTGTCAAGGCACTTGGAAAATAATTCTAAATCTTTTTTAATTTTTTCCTTTATTGAAACGTTAACGCAAAAATGATGGTAATAAAAACGCAGGCTTTACAAGGTTGTAAAACGTAGCGACATAAAATCTTTTACTGTCCTGTTTTGAATTAAAACCCAAATCAATTTGGGTTACATCGAAATGTATGTATGTATTTATTTATTACATTCGGAACGTAACTACATAAATTATGCTACCTTACAGCTTACAAATTACTTTGTACACGCTCAGATAAATGATGAAAGTGTTCTTCTTGTTCGAGCAAGTTTTAGACAACTAAAAATGACCATTGTTTGAAGAAAACTTTTTTCATCGTTTTAAGTTTTCAATGAGTGACAATGCTCACAATCGAGTTTTATATAGATAAACTTTTCAGGAACTTTTAATGAGTGCATTAAAAGTTTTCTTTTATCTTTCCCCAAACCAAGTATAAATAAAGTCGTTTACAGAAGATAATTTATATTAAATATTAAAATAAGTAACCCTTAAGTTTCGACACTCGTTATAGTCTTCGTAGAGCTTTAAGTCAATTAATAGTAGTATCACAAGACGTCTTCTAACCAGACCCCAAACATTTTTTCTTTGCGCTACACCTGCGTCACTTGCGTCATAGCTCCATTCATCTCTATGTGTGTAGGTAGTGGAAGCCACTTGTTCAATAACTTCGGTCTAAACAGTTCTCCGAATGCTGATCGAAACTGTCGAGACATCGAGCAATATAGAATAAAGTTAATGGCAGAATTAACAAGTGCCAACATGTCAATAACATCACCTACAACAAAAAAATTATTGTTTACATCGGTATATTTAAATCTAATATAAATTCAATTTCAACTCTTAACAATTAATTACGTGGAACCGACTCTTCTCAATGTTTAACTTAAGCTAAAGAGGAACGTTTGCGTTCAAACGCAACATCGAATTGTACTAGTCTTTAAATTGGAATTAGGTCTGATTGCTCGGTTAAAATAATCAACAATTAGTGAGAACCATTTATGTGGAGTTAGCTTCAAAGTCCGATGGACTTGATTGCTGAATTAAATTGGTGTACAACGTCAAAGCAATAATTCATAGATGTTTATTGAGAGATATGATAAGTACATGGGTGGGATTTGAATGAAATGAAGGAATGAAAGAAGCGACAGATTAATAATAATTTTGCCAAGAGAAAGAGATAGTTAACTTCAAAGTTAACAAAATTGACCCCTTTCACCGAAGTACCTGTGCGGATAATGTTATTAAAAAGGTGCTGGATGATCAAACTCTAATTTACACAAGTTAGACGCCGAAAGACAAAAATGTTACATTTACATCAAAGATCAAACAGAAACCGACGTAGACTAGTACTCTCATCATTTTTAAAAAGGCACTGCAGAAATTTACATTAATTAACATTAATTCTGGTCGAGGAAAGAACTTTTTTAGTGCGCCGTTAGATTATAACTCATAATTTCAAGAACAGCGCCTTACTTTTTTTACTTTACTTTTTTAGTGGTAAATCAAAGTCGCAAAGCGTCGAGGAAATCTGGGGCTATTGATTTTGGTGGATTTGCCACTTACATTAATGCGAGAACCCGGAAACTGGGGAGGAAACTTTAGATTTCCATTCCGATTGTTCTCATCAATTCAACTGCATGTATTCGTCATCCATCGAATTTGTATCAACCCCATAACGATAATTTACATATGCTTACTATTCATGTAATGAATCATGATACACTATTTACAGACAATTTTTTAAATTATTAATCATTTTGGGGAATGTATTGAAAACGGATATTCAAAATTAATCTAGTACATTGTTAATTGATTACAAGAGAGGAATTTGCAGTAAGTTTAGAATAGCCCACTTCCTGTAGTTAATTGTTCCCGTAGAGGATGTAATCGATCCTAAATTAGACTATTATACCACTTAAAAGGTAACTTTCAAGTAATAAGACCTTCAATCAAGTTCCAATTTATTTAATTTTCTTTAAGTTAATCGTTTTTAATATTATACATTCTTTAATTACGTCGCCGTTTTCGTATTAATTTTCAAATATGCTAGGAATAAATCGGAATTGTGTAGTTTTAATAAACCTTCCTTTTTATTCTTTTGGATACTCGTTTTCTTGCACAATATTTCCACAAAGCACGTAGCGCTGTGTTATTATGAGGGAACAATGAAGGAAAAAACGAACGTTTAATAAAATCTCACCGAATATATCGTCTTTGTGTATCATAACTCATTTTAGTATAGAACATTTCATTGTGATTTTCATCGCTAGCGTGTATACAATTTTATATAAATCAAAACGAAAAGAAATAAGTTAAATTTATTAAACAAACCCTCTTCAAAATCTATGTATTAGACAACGACTTCTTTTTACTGAAGGGGAAAGCCGATTTCGAGATCCAACGTAAGCTATCAAAAGGTAAAAAGCTCTTAGACGTGGAAGAGGGAGAGATCTTTGGACTTTCAGCATTAATATTTTCCTTGAGTGGAATACGAATCGTTGTATAAATTTTGTATAAGATGTAATGATTGTTTGGAGTTGAATATAAATCCCTATTGCATAGTAAAAGAAATAAAAAGAAAGAAAGGTGAATTTATATTAACCCATTAGTAAACAGACATCATCGTTTTACCAACAGACAAAGGAAAATTAATCAAAAGCACAGAATAACCAGAAGAGACAGCTTTTTTCGGAATGTAACATGTTTTATATCGGCGTTTGAATAACATTCAGTCAGTGGAGTTGAAGTAAGGTTAGAAATTTATAAAAATATTCTTTTAAACGTAGGTTTACACTATAAATTGTAAACATAAATAAACTCCAATTTTTATCTAGACCTCCACTGTCTCTTTTGGTTATTCTGTGTCAAAAGTATGAAATTAATTCCGCAGGATGTATTGGTAATTTTCTGGTAAGTAAGAAAAGATCTGGCAGCATAGAAAAGAGTGTCTTGTGAAGTTCCAAGACTGCCTGAACTCACAACACCCCAATCAAATTTACGTGAACAGTATCTCCTTTCAGACAATAACATACAGTTAATAATTAATCACTTCAAAAGAAATCTGATTACTGCGATAAATTCGCGTTGGACAGAAGCATCACGTACAAAGAAGATTTTTTTAAACCAACAGATTTTTAAAAACCATGATTGGTTAAACCAGGAGTATACTGTATCTTTATCTGTTCTAAATGAAGAATGCGACAAATCTGTTGGTTCCATGTCATCTATATCTAACGAAAAGAGAGGAAGACCGTATCTACCTTATGAAGAATCTGCAACGTCTAGTAAGAGACGAAAAAATACCACATTGCAAAATGAATATGGATTTGATCGCATATACAGTGCGTATATTCAGGGTCTCCAAATTTAGTGGAGACTATAAGAGATTTGCAGCGTGATGAAAAGAAAGCAATTTTAAAACAGATCCACCATAATAAATCACAACCATTGACTGTAGATGAAGCATTAAGCGTTTACATTGATTTAGATTTGACTAAAGCACAATATTTATACCTTAGAAATCTAACCAATGAGAAAAGCTGCTTTTTATTGCCACCTTATCACAACATCCAGGAAAGTAAAAAAAGCTGTTATCCACCTATTTCTAGTATAGAACTCGGCAATACATATGCAAAGGTAACATCTTTACAAGATTTATTAAATCACACGATTAATAGAATTTTATTAATTGAGACAGTATATAAGTCTGGATTACAAAAGTTACTTTTATATAGTAAGTGGGGGTGTGATGGCTCATCTGGACAAAGCGAATACAAGCAAGTACTACCTGAAGAGTCTAATGTGGTATGTGATGCTAATTTGTTCATAGCTTCATTTGTACCTATTAGATTAATTGACGAAGAAACTGGTAAGGTAGTGTGGCAAAATCCTGTTCCCTCTTCTGTGCGGTTCTGTCGACCAATTTCAATTGGGTTTTCTAAAGAGACTCCCGAGAAAACGAAATCCGTTGTGGATGGCATACAAAGTCAAATTGATAGATGGAAATGTTGCCCAAACAATAACAGATACACCTTCATGTTCCACGTGCACTATTTGCGGTGCTAATCCACGGCAAATGAATAATATAGAAAAGCTGGCAGCACGACCAGAAAATGATAATACATTTCGCTATGGATTATCAACGCTACATGCCTGGATACGTTGCATGAAGATGATTTTGCACATATCACATAATCTACCCTTCCGAAAGTGGTCAGCTACTACCGAAGAAAATAAACAATTAAAAAAAGATAAGAAAGCTTTGGTTTGATTATTGATAAGCCAAAGCAAATAAGTGGTAATATAAACGATGGAAATACTGCTAGAAGATTTTTTTGTAATGCTTCTTCTTCGGCAGAAATTACCGGTGTCGACGAAATATTGATTAAGCGATTTTATANAAATGATAATGCATTTCGCTATGGATTATCAACGCTACATGCCTGGATACGTTGCATGGAGATGATTTTGCACATATCATATAATCTACCCTTCCGAAAGTGGTCAGCTACTACCGAAGAAAATAAACAATTAAAAAAAGATAAGAAAGCTTTGGTCCAGACACGATTTCGCAAAGAGCTTGGTTTGATGAGCCAAAGCAAATAAGTGGTAATACAAACGATGGAAATACTGCTAGAAGATTTTTTTGTAATGCTTCTTCTTCGGCAGAAATTACCGGGTCGACGAAATATTGATTAAGCGATTTTATATAATTCTTCAGGCGTTGACATCGGGTATTATGGTAGATCCAGATAAATTTGGAGAATATGCGACGGAAACGGCAAAAATATACATTAAAAATTATGACTGGTATTACATGCCATCTTCAGTACATAAAATATTAATTCATGGTGAACGTATCATACGACATTTTGCAATTTTACCTATTGGACAGCTATCAGAAGATGCACAGGAATCTCGAAATAAAGATTACAAANTGTTTTCATCTTCTAGTTTTCTTTTCTTCCTACCCGACATCGCACGTCAATATTATGGACAATTTTATTTATTCTGGTATAATTAAAGAAACGAATAAATTTTTGTAGGACTGCAAATTAAAATAAAATATTACTTACTTTTATTTTCACAACCTTTTTAAAACAATAAGTTTATCAACTCTGTGATTAATCAACTCTCTACGAAGAACTCGCATAAACTGAAGGGACTAGAAAATTTTATGATTCAATCCACTTTTGAGCGAAACAGGGGAATACCCGACAAAACGGACCAATTCGCAGTTACGTATCTCCGAATCTACGTAAGTCGGGTTTACGTAGGTCGGGGTATTTACTGTATTCGTAGACGCCATACATCGGGATTCGCTATTGTGCAAATTATTTTTTTAACATCGTCATTGCCGATACTTTGGCGGCGGTGTCAAAAAAATTAAGATGAAAGGTTCTTCCCAATATATTAAGCTATGGGTTTACCAAATTTGGTGAAATTCGGCCAAGGAATAACTGAGTAAAATCGGTATATAGGTACCCACATACATACAAGATTCCATTTTTATATATTAAGATATAGGAGTTTTATAAAACGTCATTCGACCAAGTAATAAAAATTATTTGTATTATCGATTATTAAAATTTAAATATTAATTTGTGCGATTTCCTTTTTTTGTTATCGGGCCGCACAAAAATCGCAATCGGGCCGCAGGCGGCCCGTGGGCCGCCAGTTGGACATGGCTGATCTAGACCTTCACAACAAGTTAACACATCAACAAGCGTTAGTGTTAACACCACTTTGAAGTGTTTTTGTATTCTTGACAAAATTTATTAAAAATATAAATACATATTTGAAACTTACCTAAAGGTATATAACATTGATTAAGAAAATCCTTCCCCATTAAAATACAAAATAATCCAAGAATCGCTTGCGGTAATTCGGTAATTAAGAATAAAAGAAGCACAGCAACTAACATTCGTGTTGTTCTATCGGTTTGTAATTCCTTTTCGATGTGTCTTCGTTGTTTTAAAACGCTTTGATCTTTAAGCGGAACACCACTGTTGTTGATCAATTCCCTTCTTCGTTTTTTCGTATCCATTAATGCAGATATAAGTCTCATAGATAAAATTGTTAATAATACACATGGTACTAATTTTATAACCACCGTATACACCCAAAACGTTGCATAAACAAAGTCTCCACTTATATCAATTGTATAAACTGTTATATTGTAATCTCCGCCTAAGTATTTTTTATTCAATATGATGCTGTTATTATCCACGTATCGCCGATTCGATTTTATATTCTGCGCTAAATAAACTGGTATACATATAACCGGGCATATGACGTAAATAAATAAAATAGCGTATAAAGTACTTTTTACGTTATTCACGGCGTACCATAATTTATTATTCTGCGGATGGTTAATAGCTATATATCTCCACACCGCTAAAATCACCGTTAAACAGCAAGAAATAAAATGAAATATTAAACTAAATGAGGCGTAAAATTTTAGGTACACAACCCAAGAGTAACTATAGTTATCGGAGTGGTGGGTCGGTTTGGAATTGAGGTACTGATGGCTCGCGAAAGGAATGTAGACCAACATTACGAATAGATCTGCAACTGCGATTCCGGTTAAAATAAAATTGGTGGGCCATCGCATTTCTCTCGTCGTCAAAATGCATATGTTGAGTATGTTCGCAACTGAACCAAAGATGCAGACTAAAACGCTTAAATATCCATGAATTTCGCGATAACTTTTTGCGAAATCGTCCAGATTGCAATATCTTACTGTTTCATTGGACATTGCAAACTTCGTTTATCTCAGTAAAAATGTTGAGATGATTTCATATTTTATGGCAGTAATCTGTAACAAAAAATATTTTTAATATTAAAATTTGTTTTTAGAAAACATGAATATTCACACAATGGACGAGATCTGGGATATGGAAATGTAATTATTTTCCTTTGATGGTTATATTGTGTAATTATACGTCAAAGATGGAAAATAATTGATTCAAGTAAACTATTTTTCTCTCTCTAGCAACGTTAAAAGCTCTTTACTCAATATCCACTTGGACCTTTTCTGGACTTTTGCGGAGATTTTTTACGCTATATCCTTTCCAATTACCAATTAAGTTCGTTTTTAATTAGATCTTTTGCGAAATTTACCAAATCGAATTGACGTGTGTATATTTTTCGGCATACACCGTAATTAATAATTTAACGACGTACAAATTCGTGTATGAAATAATGTAAATAAACAGTTTAACGCTTTTAATTTACATTTTACGCGGTTTTCCTATAATATCAAAGTAATCTGAAGAGTATGAAATATTTGATAACCTTGAAGTCTAGTATTAATAAAATTAAAATTAATTGAGTTATAAATATTATCAAAACTTTATGTTCTTTGATTTCGTTTGTTTAATCCGTTTCCGTTTAATTAGAATAACTAAAGAATTAGCAATTTGTGGAGAAGTAACCGTTATAATCTTTGGAATATTCATATAAGATGCCGTGGTAAAGTAGCGGAAAATATGGAAATTTCTGACGCCACTTCACCGCTGGATGAAGTTTGAGGAATGCACTCAAGAAAGATGACGCCTCAAGGAGATGAAAATAATTAAAATAAAATAATGTTTGAAAAGAAATAACGATGCTTAACTTCTGATCTAGAATCTTTTTTTTTGTTAAAGTTTATATAGATAACTAGAGAGGACCCGATTCTTATACTAAGAGCAGATAAAGGACAGGTTACAGTAGCTATGTTTAAATCAGAATATACAGGGTTTTCCAATAAGAGGTGTTATTTTGATATTCAAAGAAAAATGCCATTTTTTAGTACAAATGATCGGATGTTTATTTCATTATAAAGAAGAAGGTATGCCGTTAATAGTGGAAAATAACACTAGGCAAATGACCACCACGACCACGCTTACAGGACAATATCCTTTCCATGAAATTTTCCATAACCAAATTGCAAAGTGGCTGCCCTATGTCCTCAATAGCCTCACGAATTCCATCTTTGAGGTCTTGAATCGACGCCGGGCTGTTGGCGTACACCTTCTCTTTCACGTGGTCCCAAAGGAAGAAGTCGCAAGGTGTGATCACCTCTTCGAGAGATAACACGGTCCGAAAACTCTTCCCGTAAAAGATCAATGGTTTCGTTGCTTGTGTGGCACGTAAATAGCACCGTCTTGTTGAAAGTAAACGTTGTCCACATCAATACCATCCAATTCTGGCCATAAAAAATCATTAATCATCTCTCGATAGCGCAATCCATTCACCGTAACTGTTGCTCCAGCCTCATTTTCGAAAAAGTAAGGTCCAATGACTTCGCCGGACCATAAACCGCCCCAAACAGTCACACGTTGAGGATAGAGAGGGTGACAATGGTGTCATTCCCAAGTATTATGGGTTGCCGAAGATCCACAAGGTGAATTGTCCCTTGAGACCTATTATATCGTTTGTAGGTTCCCCCACATATCACTTGTCAGAGTTCCTGTCAGGTATTCTAAAACTTTCTTTTAGTGAGAGAACTTCCTACAATATCAAGGATACTTTCTCTTTTGTAGAGAAAATTAGGGATATAAAACTCCCACCTAACTTTATGCTTATCTCACTTGATGTGGTGTCTCTCTTCACCAACATACCCCTCAACTTGGTGAGAGATATATTGTTACAANCGATAGCGTAATCCATTCACCGTAACTGTTGCTCCAGCCTCATTTTCGAAAAAGTAAGGTCCAATGACTCCGCCGGACCATAAACCGCACCAAACAGTCACACGTTGAGGATAGAGAGGCTTTTCAACAATAACTCTTGGGTTTTCCGAGCCCCAGATGCGACAATTTTGCTTGTTGACGAAGCCACCGAGGTGGAAATGGGCCTCATCACTCAAGATGATTTTTCGATGGAATTCCGGATCATTTTCATGCATTTCAACGACCCAATCAGCAAAGACACGACGTTGTTGATGATCGGACGGCTTGAATTCTTGTGTTAACTGAAGTTTATAAGCCTTAAGACCCAAATCGTTATGCAAAATACGGTGTAATGACGTTTGTGGAATGCCTAATTCCAAAGAACGACGAGGAATGGACAAACCTGGGTTTTCTTCAACACTTTCGGCTACAGCAGCAATATTCTCGGCTGTTCTTGAGCGACGTGCACGGGTTTTATTCTTCACATCAGTAACTTGTCCTAACAGTTCGAATTTTTCCACCAATTTCTGTATTGCGGTCTGACAAGGTGCTTCACGACGACCCAAAAATGTTCGAGTTTTACGAACCGTCTCTGCCAAAATTTCACCATTTTATAGTGAATTTTAATAATTTCAATGCGTTGTTGAAGAGTGTATCGTTCCATTTTATTAATGGCGTACTTTCTACTTGTCAAATGTCAAAAAATGACATCTTCAAAAGTGACATCTACCGAAATAACGGGCTATTCAAAATAACACCTCTTATTGGAAAACCCTTTATATCGAAGTCTTTAGACTTATTTAATGATCAGTCCACTTATTGTGTTTTGGATAGGGACCCTACTTCAAAGATACAAAATAGAAACAATAAATTTTCAAAAATTTTATTAGAAAAGGAATACATTGATAAGAACAATGATGAACAATGGTGTCATTCCCAAGTATTATGGGTTGCCCAAGATCCACAAGGTGAACTGTCCCTTGAGACCTATTATATCATTTGTAGGTTCCCCCACATATCACTTGTCAGAGTTCCTGTCAGGTATTCTATAACTTTCTTTTAGTGAGAGAACTTCCTACAATATCAAGGATACTTTCTTTTTTGTAGAGAAAATTAGGGATATAAAACTCCCACCTAACTTTATGCTTATCTCACTTGATGTGGTGTCTCTCTTCACCAACATACCCCTCAACTTGGTGAGAGATATATTGTTACAAAATTGGGACCTAGTGAGTTCTGTCACTCCCATTGATATGGAATTGTTTTTACAATTGATAGTGTTCCTTTTTGAGTCTTCGGTATTTACTTTCAATGATGTCATTTACAGTCAAAAATTTGGAACTCCAATGGGAAGTCCTTTAAGCCCCATCTTGGCCACAATGGAGATGGATCATCTTCTCGATCAATGTATTCCTTTGTTGGGTTTTCGGGGTATCCGATAGGTCTAGTTAATAGAATTCTTTATCATAATGGTACTTACCATCGTAAATCAGTCAACGTTCTGAAGGTGACGACCAACACGACATATATAGCCTTCCTGACCCACTTTGTTAAGATTCCCTTCGTCCCCAAGTTGACTGATAAACTTGTTTCAGTTCTGAGGTTTGACTCAGTTAGGTTTGCTAAATGTAACTCTTTGCCTTTATCCACCTGTTTTTCAAGGACTAAGGATCTGGTTCCTAAAGGTTTACAATCTAATGTTATTTATAAGATTCCTTGCAATAATTGCGAAAAAACCTACATAGGCACTACCAGTCAGTATTTTGATGCTAGGATCAAACAACATAAACGTGATTGTCAATCTAGAGATGAAAACAAGAGTGCGTTGGTTCATCACCATGTTCTCAGTGGTCACCATTTTAATTTTGAGAATTCTCAGATTGTTGATAAAGAATCAATTTATTCAAAAAGATTATTCTTAGAGATGTTTTACATCAATAAAGAGGTTAATTCCTTAAACTTCAGAACTGACACCCAGAACCTTAGTTCTATTTATAGTTACCTTGTTATGAAGGACTGGGGTAGAAGGGATCAAACATCGATGGAGAGTGATTCTCTTGTTTTCTAGTTCTTTTCCTCGGTTTTTGTTTCCGTTTTCATATTTTCAATTTCATTCCCCCTTTCAATGCCACCTAGTGGTTATTTTTAGTGTATTTGGTGTTTTGCCGTGACGACGGTTGGTCAGCCTTGTTTCTTTCCAGTTTTTGTGGTATAAAAAACTTACGTGGCTTATTGCGTCTTAACTTTTAACGTAAAAATTTTAACGTGTTCTTATTGTAAGTAATACTTATTTTAATAGTTTCATAATTAACGTTGTAATGATTTTTAGTATTATTTGATCTTTAATTCGTCACCTTTAGTGAATTATGAGAAGTATAGTTTTAATAAGAGATGTCTAGTGCTCAATTCTTGCGACCTCATGTTTAGCTTTAGTTCAGTTCCTTTATGCAATCCATTTTTGTAAGTTGTTGAGATGCATTTTTGTTAATTATTGTAACTTTTGTTGTCTCAATATTGTAGTTACCTCTGAAGAAGGAAAAATAAAATTTCCGAAAGCTAGGTAAAGATAAAAGGAAGAATCTTTTCAATTATCTAGCCTTTGTCGTGTTGGTCGTGTATCCCAATAAATTACTTTAGTTCCTATATAGATAACATTTTTTTCAATATTACCTGTATCTTCCGAATTTTAACAAGACAATAGAACCGCGAATAATAGGCATTGTAATCTTATCAATCGGTACATGACTTCGCGCCATAAAAATTTTACAACTAAATTTGATTTCTGTCTTGTGATCAGATAAAATTGATATTAAAATGATACAGTTTTCTTGTCCGGTTATAATTCCATATATTACCCATATCATTAATTTCTGTTTTATGAATGGTGTCTTTCCCGAGGCCTGGAAACAAGCAATTGTTGTACCAATTCCTAAGAAACCTCAGCCCAAAGCTCTAAATGACTTAAGACCTATAAGTTTGTTACCAGTTGTATCTAAAATTCTGGAGAAAGTGGTAGCAAAACAGGTCATTACGTACTTGGAAGGGTTAGATGTTTTGGGAGACACGCAGTCAGGCTTTCGGTTGGCGCACAGCTGTGCTACTGCATTGACTCTCATAGTTGATGATATTTTACAGGCAGCAGACAATAATAAAATAAGTA